GCAACATGTTTTATTTTGTACTTGATTATGGTTCATTGATTGGCATTGGCTGCTCAGCGAAACTAGCCGTGAAACGAGTTCATTCACATTCACATCCACAGCCACAACCACTTCAACATCGACAACTCATCTCACTTGAGTTGAGTCGCTGTCAATGCCTAGGGCTTGTCTGCCCGCCCCTGACCTTGGCTACAATTTTCGACTTAGAGATAGACGCACAATGTACATATATGTATATAAATACATTTATATTGTTCAGCTGTCGGCAGCTAGACATATCGACAACAACAACACCAACAATGGAAAGCAAGTGGCGTCTCGCTCGCCGCCTTCCCATATTTGGTTAAATACGTTTTCCCCCCACAAATTCCCAATTGCAATTAGCGGCAACAGCCAGGCTGGCTTTGCCTTTGTTTAACAATTTTTACATGTGCTGCCACGCCCCCTGCTTCCTTGGCTGCGCTCGTTAAACAGCATAAGGTATTAGCCTAGCCAAAACGCGTGCAGCACAACTTTTCCAGGAAGTTGTTTATTATTGCGGCCGTTTATTGTTGTTTCACATTCACATTGAGCGCGCGAGTTTTATATATCGAATACACTTGCCGAAATTGGGGCGGGTGTGAGCATGAATGAGAGTGAGTATTTGTAAGGGAAGTGCTATAGAGAGAGATAGCAGATAGAGTTGTGAGTTAAAACTTAGCCATAGACAATTAGGCAGAGCTATATATAAGCTCTATGCCCCAACAAAATCTAATTCCTTATATACAATATCATCATATTTATATCTATATATATTATCTATTTCAGTGTATTCCAGATTCGTCTTTTCTCTCTCAAGGCGCTGAACACATTTGTTGCCATTTGTGTGTTAAGGAAATCGCTGCTGGAAAATGCGTTTTCATTTTCCGTTTCACACCAGTTTTACGGCAATTCGCCTTGAGGCGTGTGTGTGCATGCACACGGTATTTATTAGACGTGCGCACTTATTTGCGACTAACTGTAACGGAGCTGGGCCATAAACATTTGGGCCAACAAACTGTGCTCGATTCAAAACTCAAGCAATGATGCTCCACATTGCATAACTCGTTTTTGTTTTTTTTGTTTATTCTGTTAATGGCATGGCCTTTCCTCTGAAATTGTCATGCAGAGTTATCTAAGCCAACAGATCAGCAGGTCAGCCGGCGGGGTCGGGCCCGTGCCGGATGCTGGACGGTGTCCGTGTCCGTGTCCGTGTGGCAACGGCTTTCCGTATGAAACGTGCCGCAATGCGCGGCGCCTCGACATTAAATTGCGTATATAGCAATAAAATATGCCAGACCTGAAATAGACGCATGAAGCACTCAAAGCAAACCGCACGCAGCTCTCTCAGCTCCACAGCTTCAGACTAATAATGAAATGCATATATGTATAGGAATAATATATATATAGTATGTGGCAATTGCCAGTTAATCTGGCACGTATCGGCGCACAGTGCCAAAGTCATTTAGATTAAATGCGAACTGTTGCAACAGTTTGGCTGCCACATTCCAGTTAAAATGAATAAATAATCGCATCGCGAATGGGATTACTGGAGCTGGGCAGGTCTTTAGCCTTATAGAGCGTAAAATATTTGCAAAAATTTACAAAGCTTTCGCAGTTCAATTGAATATTCAAAATAAATTCATAGAGCTGTTGATTGATTGACTGATGGATTGATTGATTGGGTTTAACATTTTTGGAATACCTGAGAGTTGACGTGAACAAATTAGAATTGGCATTAAAGGTATATTATATATATGAAGGTATATAATATATTATTATATATTATATATATTTACTTGAAATTTAATTAAATTCATTTACTATTTTAAATTAATAAAAATAAAAATCTTATTTATTTAATAAATTGAATGAAATATCAATAAAAGAAGGAAAAGATGGATATAAATTCAAGGAAAAATAAATAATAAATTTATAATTAAATTTAAAAAAATTAAAAATATAAGAAAACAAATTTTAATTAATTTAATGAAATAATTAAAAAAATGTATTTATCAATATATTAAATTTCATTAAACAAAAAAAATAATTTAAAAAAATGTATTTATCAATATATTAAATTTAATTAAACAGAAAATAGAAAATAAATTTATATAAATTTAAAGAAAATGATTTAAAAAATATATTTATTAAATTTGATTAAATAGTAAAAGAAGACGAAAATAAATTTTAATATTTAAACTTAAATAAATTTAAAAAAATGTATATTTATCTATTTATTAAATTTAATTAAATATAAAAAGGAAACGAAAATAATAAAATAATAAAAATGAAGAAATAAACATGTATTTATGTACATTTTTAGTGAATGTAAATTTAATTCATTTTTAAGAGAAATTTCTTATTATCAAATAATTAGCCGAAAATATTTGATATACATCTGCCTATAAATTATTTTGAGCTGCTGTCCGATTCTTGATTAGTTAACTGCATGAATTGTATGTTGTCTAGTGTAATTCATAGACTTCCATGCGCCAAAAGTTTGCACACATTTGAAACAGATGCAAGCAATAATTTTTAAAATGAAAACTTTACATTTCCCAAGTAGATCGTAAAAAGTAAATAAATGAAAAAATAAAAATAAAATAATTTAAATTTAATAT